TGTTGCTGCTGTTGCTGCTGTTGCTGCTGCTGCTGTTGCTGCTGCTGCTGCTGCTGCTGCTGCGCCTGCTGCTGTGCCTGCAACTGTTGCTGCTGTTCAGTCATCTTGAATGCCAACAATTTTTCCGAGTGTAGTGTGTTTAGTGTCCTGAGATCTGGTATTTTCTTGAGCAATTCACGCAGTATATCCGGATGCTGCGGATGATTTTGAGCTAGTACTGACTGTAGGGCACTACGCAATTTATTGTGCATACGTTCAACGAGATCAGTGTTACGTAAACCAGGCCTGTCAGCTGCTATAACAACAACTGAACAGAATAATCCAAGTTCAGCGTCCGATAGCCGTAGCGAATTGACACGCTCGGCAAAATCAAACATCGAGTCCATTAAGAATCGTGCATTGCTGTTGTGAATTGAGTCCCTCTTCAACACTTGCCCATTGAGGCATATCATACTGTTTGTTTGACCATCGAACATACAGGCTAGACGTACAAGTAGTACCTCAAAGACACCAGCTTTAAGCAGTGTAACCTGGTCATCCTGTGCCAGCAGGTTAAAACCAGGAATGCGTTTGGCAAATTCAACAACACCTCTTATTGCCGGTGAAAATCTCTTCGAGAAGTCTTGGAGTAATTCCTGTTGACCAGTTAATGGCTGAGGATTGGGATTGAGTGGGCATGCCTGCAACATTCCAAGGAGCAACGAAACGACTGAGTTATTTATCTACTGAAGGCTGCGGGAGAATATTCACCAGTTGTCCTCGAGACAAAAAGCTACTTTCAAGGGGGATTTTTTATAAACACGATCACTTCCTCCTTCACTAGTCAGAATTCTCGAGGACAACTGGTGTGATTTCAGTGTTATAGTTAAATATTTCCGCGTTATTTTTTTTCTCTCCTAAAAATATTGAGACAAGGCCTTGATGGCTCTGTCAACATTTCGTATAGGTGGATGGATCAGTGACGGAGTGTTTTTCATTTTTCGACCAGTGATAAAAGACAAGACTCACCAAGGTTGGTGGACACGCTGTGTAATTAGGTGTCTCTCGCGCCCTAGCCAGCACCGGAGCCACCTTGTCTCTGGTGAAGTCACACGTGTCAAGATGAGCGCGAACAACAGTCTGTAGGAGACGCTGTTCGTCCTCCAATTCGGCAGCAACTGCCTTCTCCTGGGAACGACTGTGTGAACTCTGCTGCATTGCCGCCAGAATTCTTGCCTTCTCGCGTTTTGGCACACGGCCGAATCGAACCGCTGTAATCAAGCAAAGGAGAGCACATCGATTAGTCAAACTACTGAGTGGAATTATCGGTAATGAATTGTCAATCAATGGATGAATCATGGATGATTTGTACGACAAGGAAGAAGGGGGAGGGGGCATTAAGAGGTAGTGGCCTTCGTCGATGACCATCAGTTATCGCGTGACAGTGCTTAGAAGTTAATTGTCGGAGCGCCTCGAACTGTTTCCGTGACCGAACAAGGTCGGCCAACAATTGTCGTATGACTACTCATTATTTTTCTCAATTTACAGTTTACTCCTAATAATTCGCAGTTATGTTTCGTTTTGTTTCGGATTAAAATTGAGAACTCGAGCGGGTCGAAGGGGAAAGCGTCGGTTTACAATCACACTTTACTTTCTCGGTTGTACCACATTTCGTATACACACGTCGGATGAAAGTGCCAGTAGAAAGTGTACGAACAAATTTTTTTCCTTCCTCCCTCCCCACCCCAATGAAATTCATTATTTTTCAACTGAGACACCTACGTGCATTATGGTAGTTGACGACACCATTGAGGATCCCTTTGAGGATCGGCAACTCGTCTCCCATGACTTCTTCCTGATACCGTTTGAGGATAAAAAAAAAATTCCCCTTTGTCCTTTTAGTAGTAATGTTGAAACTTGCTGTAATCCTGAACGGTCAAAAAAAAAATCCACTCCACAACAATAAATTCTCAAACTTCCCTCATGGGATTCCACATGTATCACAATAATCCAATCAATAGGCCTCCAGAGTCATGAGTCAACAGACTGATTAAATTCTTCTTAGTTTGCACAATACCGGCTGACTCGCTAATAACAAAAAATCGAATCACTCCAGAAAAATGCGCGTTAATGGCACAAAACACTGTTGAATTTCAATAAAAAATTTGTTAAATCGACCGAGCGGGACGAGACAACGCGTGCAAACGCGAGACAGCATCACCGCCGACTGAGTGACGTTCCGTGAGTTGCGTTCAACAGCCCCCTAGCCCCCCTCTCACTCCCCTTTCTACTCCCTTTTTCCCACCTTACCCCGGCCACCCACCATATTCAGCCATCAACGGGTATGCCCCCACTACCAAAACGCGTTGTGCCGCTCAACGACGATTGTGGCCTTTGCCGAGGCTTTTGGCCTTGAACTTGGTTTCAGCGACAGCCGCGTGAGGCATACTGTCGACCTATATATCCTCAGAGAGAGAGAGAGGGGGGTGGGGGGGGAGGGGTCGAAAGCTCCCTCTCCCTCCGAGAGTCGATCTGTGCGCAGATGCTCTTATCTCACCCCACAGATTCCTTATATATCGTCGAACCCCAGGTTATAAACCCAAGGGGGAGGCTAATCTCGCTCGACTTTGACCACCCTCAGTCATGCAGGGTGAGATCACTTAAGCCATCGACGTTGATTTAGCATCAGTGATAAACGCGTCGGTGATTAAACTGCATGTTTTTTTTTTTAACGCAGCTCTTTGATGAATTGGTAATAAGAAATTAATGTTGGTCTTGATTGATGGAGATCTGGTCATCTTCTTGGGGTGCCTCGGAAGGATGATGATTTACGGTAAGAGCGTCAATGATGGCGGTGCGATGATCGAGCGCGTTGTGTCTAGTTTGGGCGCGCACCGTTTGGCGGGACAGTAGAGCATGCGCTTCGGTTCTAAGTAGAAAGGGTAAGAAGTGGTAAGGCTCGATATAGATTGAGAGAGAGTGGGAGCTGTAGGAAGTGGGGATGGTATAACGTACAGTTGTGAGGTGAAGTTCGCGAGGTCTCCGGTCCTCGCATAGCGCCACGCGACGGCGCGCGGTCCGCTGGAACGTGGGAGTGGGGGTGAAATCGCGGCGTCAGGGAACCGAACAAGTCGAGCGGGCAATCGTGTTATTTGAGGGGATGGGTATTCGGGTGGAGGGGAAGGTGCACGCTTATGGAGGGAATGCAGTGTGAGGATGTAGCGGTACTCTCTCTGTAGCAGCATGCAAGAGTCCATCGGCCGCGACTATTGACCCCGCCGAAAAATTCTTTGTTTTTAACCATCTATTATCTATCCAATTGCATGTCAATTTTAGTAGACTAGACTATTTTATTTTCATCTGGGCAGTAATTTTGTATTACCAAATGAAAATCGTCGAGTATTATTTGGTAATTTGAGGAGTTTGTGGATATGAGGTGATTGATTGTGCGAGTCACTGAGAGCTTTCGGGCTTGCAAATCTGGAGAACAAATGTGAGGCACTAGAGGTCATTCACCCGGCGCGTACGATAGACAGAGGTCATGCCCGGGCCATTCCCCGGCCAGATTTTTTCGCCATACTTTGTTCTAGAAAAATTCCACCATCTGTCTCTTGAAACCTCATTTTTTTTCCAATGTGGAAATTACATCGGTTACTTTCTCGTCAGGCTATTCAACCACTTTCGCCAATTGCGACAGTCGCCTCGCGGGGTAAATACCAAAAATTGCGCAAATGGTCAATGGTCTGGCAATCCAAATTTCTAAAATCATCGCGTAAAGTAAAAAAAAAAACGACTGCTCTAATTATAAGCGTATCGCACAGCTGCGCGTTTGAATTTTTCTACTTTTATCAACGCTAATTCATCCATTGATGGGGGACACGAGATATTTAGTGAAACAGATTTGTAAAAAATGAAAAAAACTCACCATCACGGCTCATGCCTACAGCGATGCACTTCTTGAGACGGCAGTACTGACAGCGATTCCTGTTGATCCGTAAGATACTGCACTGCTGATTTTTGGTACAGGGACGATATTGAATTTTCTGCTGAATGCTCCTTCGGAAAAATCCCTGTGAATCACCAGTAAAACCCTCGTCAGTTTGACCGTCACTGTCGGACGATGACCCCGAGGAACATGCGCTCCCCGCTCTTCGGGTTGTATGATCACATTCGCACAAGCACCCCATGGAATTTTAGCCAATAAAACGATGAATGAAACGAAAAAAAAAAAAAAACTAAGGCGTAGATGGATTTTATTTTTTGAGACAACTATCGAATTCGAAAAAAATCTTTCGCCAGAATTTTCCTCGTTCACAAACAGCACAATCACAGTGTCATACAAATGCCTGGATATCCAGTGCCGAAACCACAGTATCTCCACTTATTTCCTCGGAAATTCGCGAAAAAGAAAATAAAACATTAATGAATAAATAAAGATTGACGATTGGCCTCCACATCGGCGGAGAACCGTTTGTATCGGGGCTTGACTGTCGACTGGCTGACTCTAGCCACAGTGTGAGTACAGTGGCTTCAGCACATTGCCTCTGGCACCGGGCACAGGGTGGGGGCCCTCTGACCCAATTCCCGGACATTCACCCGCAGTTCACCGCGTGAAAGTGAGAGTCCCCTGCGCGCCGGTTGGGTTCTCGCTCGTGCGCTCGCAACAACCCCGTAACACGCTGCTTCTCTCTCACCATTGCAAGTCACCGCTCTACTAACGGGTTTTCTTCCCACCCTCCCCCCTTCCCCTTCTCCTTCACCTTCTCCCCCCCCAGTCACCCTTATTCCTCTTTCCACAATTCATATCCACCAATCTTCCCCACTAGTATAATATGCCCTTCGCCCATACCCGATCTTCACATCAGCTTCCCCAACTCAAACTTCAACTTAATCTAAAAATCCTACTGCTCTCTCCTCCTCGCTCATTCGCCGTGGAATCCCTTGAACGCGGCATCGAATAGATCCAATAAATCCCTCCAGAATAGAATAATCCAGAAAATGGAGAACGCGACAAGAGTGTCCTCATGACAATTATATCCGGCACTGGGACAATGGTAAGCATTCCTGATGGACGCTGTGTCCCGGTCATCGACCTCGCGCGTTAGGCGGGAAGAAGAGGGTGAAACATTGTTAAGAGGAGGAACCGTTTATTACATAACTCCTCGTCGGGTTTAAAAAACCGACGTGTCACGGCGCAGCAATTCTCCCCTCATTTTTCTCGTCATTTGAAATTTAATGCAGAAATCCCGGGGAATCACGAGTCACGACGAGACGGGAGGTAGGAGAATCGCCAGCGGGAGAGTGGGGGAGTGGAAGGCAGGGACGAAAACCTGCAACGAGAATATGCGTTCACCGACGTGTGTGAATGACGTCAGAACGCGCGGGCCTCGCCTACCTCAACGTGAAGAGAGTACCGTTGCAACTGCAACGACCCGCTCCTGATGCCATCGTCCTCCCGAGGCCTTTCCCGCGCGAAATAATTTCAGAAATAATGTCCACCTCCAATGGCGACCCCGAAATTCCACCAATTCAAGCAAATGTGCAAAATAGCAGTGGTAAGTATGCAAGTTTATTGGTGAGGCGATAAAAACGACATTTTGAATTTTCCCCGGGACGAGGCCAGTAACCCCGAGTGAACCCTGTGAATGAAGGGGGGGTTGTTGGTGGATCGATGACGAAGCGTTGGATTCCGCAAGCGTGTCAGGGGGTTGAACACCTTGGGTTGCCTCCTCAAGTTGCCCCGTGTGGCTCGTTCAACACAACTTTGACGCAAGCGCAAAATCCTCAGATTGCAGCCTCCCCCTGATCCTCATTTCTACATTGCGATTGTTCACGTGACTGATAACTGGGTACAGGCGGTAATCTGGTGCTTTTATCCTCCCTCGGAGTGATTTGAAATAGGTGGTGCAATTGAAGAGCATTGGAGAGCGCGAGGTGGATGGAAGGTACATCTGAATCGGTCATGACGAGGATTGTACGTAAGTACGGGGGCAACGACCGGAGTGCAGTCTGCGTGCGACCGCGAGAGTGATAGAGCAAGGGGGAGGGGAATCTGCGCGTGGGGGGAGGATTGAGATTGGTGCACGTCAGGGTGTCCAATGCAGGAGAGAAGAGTCCAAGAGAAGGCAAACGAAAGAGTCAGAGTAACCCGTGGAAACATGGAGTAACGGTGACGTACATAGGTATTGCGCATGCGCCATGTTGTGCACGAAGTTTGCGCGAGGGCACTGCAACGGTTGAGGGGGCATTAACCCGTAGCGCACTACTGTATAATTTGGCCCTAAAGAAATTTCGTCTCCTCTACCAACACGATAATTCCACCTGCCGATTTCGTCTACCATTTCACCCTGGGATTTATCTTCGCCCCTTGAATTTATTTATGGGATTCGTCGGGATCATCTTGGTGGCACGGGCAGGGGTGAGTGTGAATCACCTGTTGGAGGGAATTTTGAGAGATGTAAAAATTGCCGGCGGTGACCTGATTAGTCACAGGCCTCGAGATAGCGCAGTTCACTGACCTCGCCCACCAAAAATATATCACCGCCCCCGCCCCCGCGCCCCCCCATCCCCCTCCTCACGCTCCCTCTCCCCAGCGCGTGCAATCAGATGAAAATGAGATCACGAGCTCGTTACGACATCAAAAGTGACTCGTATATGTGTGTACTTTGGCGGGGGGAGTGGATTTTATTGTATAGAGACTTGCGATGGAGTTGGGGGAGGAAGAGGATGACGTATTTGGCGCGTGGGATCATTGACCGGGGGGTTAATGCACCCCTTGGCCGGAATCTAGCACCCCTTCGTGCCACCGGAAAAATACCAGGGTGGATCGAATATGGCGTACCAACATTTATATCACGAGTCCTTATGTATTTGCAGCTCATTATCGATCACATGCGTGATGCTATTTTGAGGCAGATTAATTTATACAACTCGAGAGTAATCGTCGAATGAGTTCAGAGTATGCAAGAATCTTCTGGAATATTTATCTTTGCGGAGAAAATGATAATTTTGAAATTTCATCGTCAATTGATATTCATCATTCATCACCCTTCAACCTGAATCAACTTTTTTTTTTGTACACAGATCACAATTTTCATTATTGTTTTATGTAAAATAAATTTGAATGGTGCAGTGTGATATTTGCTCTGACAAGTTGTGTTTCTCCATGGAATCCACAAAATGGCCAGAAAATCTCAATGTGCAACAGTAGTGCGACCGAGCGACCTAGTCTAGAAGATATCCAACACTCTTCCGCGTTCTCTTCCCTTTCCCAATGTCCATATACATGCATTGAAAAGGCATACCCTAGCTTCTTCCAGGCACAACCCATAAAAGAGACGAGCCAAAACCGCTAGTGGCTAGGTCAGTCGGGAGTGAGCCTGCGCGCCTCTTACGGACGCCAGCCATAAGTTACTGACCTAGTCAACGCTGAGCTGTTGGACTCAACTGACTTTATTAGAAAATCGCAAAATTTCACTCTTGACTCTACTTCATTTGAATTCACAAATTCTCTACAAAATCAATAATTTTCCAATTAATACGGAAAATAATCCGCTATCTCAGATATATTGAGTCCTGGACATTCATATTCATATATTCATATCTTTGTGGAATTTCCTTGCATTCAGTGTATTCGACGGAAATAATATTCTTTTCTCTCAATGTCCCTATGATAATTTGTGCTCTGAATTTTTCTCTCCATGTACCTCAACCGGAAAACCCTGTCAAAGCTATTTTTCTCCGGCTTCGATGTTCACAAAAGTATTTCTACCTGAGGGAGATTTCCCTTTTTGCGGCAAGAAGAAATTATATCGCGGAAAACCGAAATTTTTCGAGAGATTCTCGTCTGTTACACCCCGCCGGACCTGTCTTGGGGTTTCAATTTTCCACAGCGGGATTGCGGCGACTTTTACTCCGGCCTAGGGTTCATCATGTTTGCTTTCTTCTCGGGTTCCTCCAAGTTCAACATTCCCATCTGCTTAATTCATATCCCAATCGAGATATGAAAAAAACTTTTTCCGCACATGTATCGAAAAATCGGGGATTATTGAATTTTCTTGAATAATCTACCATATTGGTTGCAGCTGTGAAGTTTGATGCGAACGATGACACAGTCGAGGCGCATCTGCACGAATTCGACGATCTCAACACCTGGTGGTGATTGCGATTGAGAGTGGCCAAGTGGCGGGAGAAAAATGATAGCCACCCAGTTAAATGCACAGAACCTCGTGGAGAGGGAAATATCGCCGCCATTCCCCACCTCTTTTTGCCCTTCTCCTTAGCAATTCCCCTCAAACCGCATCCCAAGACCACGAGGCCGTTGACTCGACGGCCTTCGGCTTCTCTCGTAATTGCCAATCCGGCAAAAGTAATCGCGCTGACTCCACCACAACCAGTTCGAAACGAAAAAAAAATAAATAAATAAAAGAAAAAAAAAAACAAATACCCCAGGAATCTCAATTGTTGAAAAATACCCGAGAATTTGATGAAAAAGTTTTAGGGTCAATTGAATCTAGCGATTCTCGTGTGGACGCACAATGGGAAAGTGCCACGTTTGGCGACCTAGAAAATGAAAATGAAATGGAAAAATCTCTCTACCTGCGACCCTCGTCAAAGACTTGGGGAGATAAAAGCGTGGAAAAATTTGGAGAAAAAAGTATCTGAAATGAAACTTTGCGTAACCCCCGAGGCTGCACCATTTTTCATTGTGTGTTACGAGGTCGTCTGGTGCTCAGTGACTGGTACACCGCGAATATCCGGAGGTTTAGCATCCATCCCCATTGTCCCTCCCACAAAAAAAAAAAAACACACCGAGATCACGAGGTTTCTACGAATATGAGGCCCCCAGGTGTGGCTATATATATGCTTCATTTTCTAAAAACTCCAAACCAGAATCATTGACGGACAAACCTAAATGTCACAATGGCCCGCCAACCTTGAGCCACAACTACCGGGTTGTGAATTAACGAGACACGCGAGGTCATAAACCGACAGCCCTTGACAACAGTTTTTCAATCATTCAGCCTCGACTCACGCATTCTACCCCTCCATCTCAGAGTCATCGATTTTCTATTTAAAAAGGAAAAACCCCCCCGACACTTTTATCTTGGTGATGGCACGGAGCTTGACTAGAGACTGAAAAATAAAATCACCAAGACCTCTGGGCTTTTCTCTGATAACGAGTGATAGTTGGGCGAATAAAGAATTTAAAATTGAGTGAAAAATAATGGAGAGATGCAAAAGCTTTCACCGATGTTAGCGAAGCCGGTTATGAACTTTCCCGAGAGATATCGAGCAAAATGAAAGCGAAAGAGGTCTTTCTCGAGTCCAATGCTCTCTGCCATTCGAGATTAATTTGTCGGGAGGGGATGAGAATAAAAATTCTTACCTTGCATCCTTCACAGGAGTGAACACCATAGTGAAAACCCGAGGCCTTATCTCCGCACACTCTGCAGAGAACCGTCGTGCCATCGAATTCTGCAATCAAAGAAAAAAAAAAATCTCATGTTAAAAAACAAAGAATGTTGAAGTAATAGTCTGGTTAAATAAATATGAGAAAAAGAAAATAAATAAAAATATGGTGAAGTAGAGTGACAATGCGCGTGGAAAAATGCATTTCTCCGTAGTTACAGCTGAAGGAGAAAGGGAACAGAGGAAAGAGTTACTTTCTCTACGACTGTGGGGGTTACAGCATCGGTGTATTACAACTTTCTGCTTTCACTCGGTCTGTCACGCTGCAACGATTTGATATGAACGATGTATTCGATTTATTACGAAAAATAGAAGAATAGGAAGAATGATCTACCTATATTGAGCTCAGGCTCAGGCCTGGCAGAGGACACAGTGGAGTCCATGGTCGGCATATTGGGCACCATGTGTGGCACTTGAGCAACGTGATAAGGACTAGAGACTCCAGAAAGGCAGGATCGTGCAACACTAGAGGATCTCGACGAGTGCGAGTGTGATGAGACACAGGACATGGGTGAGTCTGGTGCCGATGGTGGTACTAGGCTAGCCTGTTGAATGCTACTGTCCGCCGTAAAAATCATATCAGAACTCCACCACTGGTAGCCCTGATCCACCGAACTATCGACCCGATGATCAGCAACGATTTTTGGAATCATCGAATCCCCTATATAAAACGTCATTCACTTTGCCAATTATCTATACCGATAGTAAATCGTCAAGCCACTTCACTAGCCGCTCTAGCGCGGCAATTTCAAACTCATTGAACTCATTGATATCCACAAAGCACAACACACTATTTGTTCAATTATCCTTAGTAATAACAGAATTGGGGATTATTCTGGTGACACAAGATATCCATGAAATGAAATGTACACTGTTTGAACGTCACTGGCAATATAATGTGATTATTGGGAGTGAGGAATAGCCTGCTGGTATTTGAACCGAGAAGAGAGTGAAAGTGAGTCTTCGCTCGAGGGAGGTTCGCGTTGGTCTGACTGGAGTTTGGTGGCGGTGAGTATTGGTTACCTGGCCGTGGGCCGGTTACAGCCCTTACTCGGACGAGAACGGAAACGATTTTCGTTGTGGTGGGGAGGGAGATACCGGAGCGATGATGTTATCCCTGAGGCTTTTTCAATGTGTTGAATTTATAAATGTCTGTGTGCGGCTCAACGCCCCGGCCTACTAGTATGTAGTCGCAACTTTGCCTCAAACACCACCGAGTTCATCGTATTTTCAATGCTGGAGGTCACTGACAACACACAAGGGGCCCCAACGCAGGCCGGGAAGAGGGGGACAATTCACCAATGACAGTGGAGGGAGCCACAGTGGAATCAACGGCTATTGGTCGAACGATTTCCCCCACCAGTTCACCAACAGGGGCCTCCTTCCTAACCAAAGGAAGAAGTTCATCGGCCGAAACCTTGACTGAATTACCCCACAGCAGCGGCCAAGGCCAGAGCGCCCTCTCCTCCTCTTCTTCTCTCTTCGCGGTGACATTTCTTCTTTATTCTCCAACATTTCATGTCGTACCTTCTCTCTCTCTCCCTCTCTCTCCATCTCCCGAAGATGGAGATTAGCTGCTTCTCACTCACTCCAATATTTTTATCCTTCTTTTTTTTTTATCACATTTCCCAGCTCTTGTTTTTCCTCTGGCTGCTAGACTCATCGACCCGACGAGCTCTTCTTCCTTTCACTCCGAGTGCATCGATAACTCTTATCACCGGGTTCCTTCTAATTGTTGTTATATTTTTTATTTTTTATCTTTCATTTGATTTTCACGTGTTTATGATGTATTTTGGAAACGTGTGTACACTTGAAAATTTCCCGTATCTTTTACTTTACATTTGAAATGCGCCATTGAGAATAAGCGGGGAATTTTTTTTCTTGTGCTGAGCCAAGTGATAGAAGACCAATGCGACAGTGTTTTTGTCGCATTAAAAGGAGTTAAGTTGCACTAGAAACCTTGAACACCTGCCCACCCGCTGGTTTCTTTCACTTATGCTGATACGAGTTTTCGCCTGTCCCCTTGCAATTCAAACCGGACGTTGGCTTCCCATAACGGCAAAGGATCGTAGTCCGGTGTCGAGCACGAGCCACTCTCCCCATTGCCAGTGACAGTAAAAAATAATTAAAAAAAAAAGAAGAGGGAAAGAAATAAAAAAATAATCAATTGGAGGAGGGGGAGGTCCTTGAATGGGACACTGAACCGCATGTGGAGATTATGCATGTATCCGTGACCCATGCGAATCGTCAGGGGGCATCGGATTTCTTCCGCTCAGTTACAGCTTTGAGAATTTATAAGCTGAATCATTTCATTTTCGATTGAAATAGCTGATGTCGGTGATGTATTGGAGAAAATATAAAAAAAATAATATTTCATACCTTTCAAGTATGACTTGAAGGATTGTCTTGTTCCTCAATGTAGAATATTTTCCTTTCGATTTTCAAAATAATTTTCTCTGTGAATGAGGTGAATTGGATAAGGAGTTTGGAGGATGAGGTTATGAGACTATCAGTGAGAAAAATTGTAAGATATTTTCCCATGATGGTCGAAGAAAAAAATAAAATAAAATCTGAGAGGAAGTTCGTTCCCCTTTCGGAGGATGTAATCCTTCCGTTCACCCTTTCCGAAATACGATATTTTTCGAAAAGCACGTGGATCACCAATTCTTCTCTTCCTCCCTATATACCCCTTCCTCGGGTATATTTTGACCTGAACATTCGGGGAAAAATCACTTGGCCCCGGTGAAGGTGGGGATAACCAGGTTTTCCAACCCTTCGTACGCGAGGCAACCCTTCTAAGTTGTAGCCAAAAATTTATTTGGGTGGCAGGTCACTCAGTCCCACTATAAAATTCACCATCTCTCTCTCCCTCTCTCCAAGCAGTTTTTTTCCAAACAATATGTCCCTTACTGCTCCATAAACGCATAAACTCGAGCCCCAAAGTGAGGAAATTTAGTAGAACTTCAAGATGTTGTCCCACAGGTACCTGAAATTTCTCCCTGATCCCAGTAAGACGTTAAAACATCATCAAGACGATAATTTATTTTCATGAGTTTACGATCCAACCATTACGACTCTGTCCTCTCGTCACAATAAAAGACCATAATTTCTCTAGTTCATCTTTTTCCCCTATTTTCCAGCAAAAAATATTAATTGTCATTATTTATTATATCTCTCAGCACTCTGCGTATCTTTACTGCATCTGCTCGTGCCAGTTTTAAGGTGATTTTCAGTGATGTAAATATCACCCTGAGAAAGGTGGGTGTATTTTGGACTGTATACAGAAGCCAGCAGTTGACTTTTATATTTTAAAAACCTTGAAATCGGTTGACGACCTGTTGATTTTTTTTTACCCGCCGTTAAGTATTTTCCGGTGTTAAAAGACAGCGATGGGATTTTTTAAATCACGTAGATTGTTTTGAATTTTTAGGTTCTATTGAAAAGAAACCATGTTCCACTCCTCGACAGTTCTATCGATGAATACGTGTCACTGATTCTATCGCCTTTTCCGGTTGGATTTCCCCCTTCGATAAAAGAAAGAAATTGTTTTCTGGACGAAAGAAAAGACGTCAGAGGAATTTATTTTCCTCTACTGATGAATTCGAATAAATCGCCGCTGGACTCTGCTCATGTCACGGGAGTATATTTTAATTCTGGATAATGGATAGGGTAAATGGTAATTAGCATAAAATCAAATAATCAATGATAGAGAGAGTTGAATGGCCGCCTGCTTGACTCATGTGATATTTTACCGAATTTAAGGGAAAAATGCAAAAAGTATACGTGAAATTGTAATAAATTAAGAGTAATGAATCAATGAATTTTCTCTAATATGAAAATTGATTTAGATACAGCGTGAGAAAAAATTCAAAAAACCATTTTTGCGCGTTCTAAATCGGATTTTAGAAAATCTTAATTTGTATGAATTAATTGAAAAAATTTTTCGCCGTGTAATCAATAAGTTTTAAAATAGAGGGAGTTGAATTACATCGATATTCTCGTGCATAGACCAATGAAAAGTACAATAAATCCTCGTAGTAGACTTTATAGATAACTCAAGTCCGAGTCTAACGGTGCGACGTAATCGTCACGCATGTGCGTGTGTGATGTCACTGAACCTCCATTGCACCGTAGAATTGTATTTTATTATTGCCTCGTATGTGTTGGCAATGAGTGGCGCTAGAGAATTCAGCGGCTTCACCCTTTACAAATGCTTCTTGAATATTCTAAACCCAATTGAACTCAATTCTCGATAATTTCTTGAGAATAAAAAAAATTTTCCATCACTATTAAATTCACATAAATTCAACGACGAATCGATTGATTTTAGGATGTTTTTGATTTCTACATTGAGTGAAAAAATTTAACGAGGAAGAAAAGTGAACTGACACATATACGCTGGACTCATGATTATTAATGCGGCCGAATGTTACGAGATATGATCAGGGGCACGCGCATTGCATAAAAGAAATTACTGAGGCCCCCACCGGCGGATATGATGGCACGCATCATAATCCAACGTGGGTTATGGCCAGCTGCACGTAATGATGCATCACACCCACATCTGCACCCGGAAGAATTTTTTATCCCGAAATTTATCATCTGTCAAATATCATAGAATATTTCTTCATCATGAATCATTCAAAGCCACTTTAAAATTGTTATTGCAAAATTAATCAAGCAATTATTCATGAAAAAAGATGATTTTTGATTGATTTTTAGAAAATTAATTCGGTATTAAAATGAAATATTTTTATTGTGCTCCGGGACTTTATTTGAATGAACTGGAAACTTGAATTTTTTAACAGGATAATGACGACAAAGGGAATAACCCCGAAGAGTACAATCACCCGGTCGTTGCGCCCTCGCGTCATTGAACCGCGAAGTTACATTAGATACGAAAAGAGAATAAAACCCCCCCTCCAAAAAAGAGGAAAATAACATGGAAAGAGGCAAAGAAACGTGGGAAGAGCCACGCGGAGAAGGAGTGAAGGCCTCATTGCGAT